CTTTGCAGCTTCATCTGAATAGTCTCAATATTTATATATGAGTTATATGTATCTCTTGGATAAAAAATTTAAAAGTAAAGGCCATTATCTATATGTGCTCAAAGGATATAAAAGAATTTTAATCTCAGAAAAACATAATAAGGAAGTCAATATCTATTTTAATCTCAGGCAAGCATACTAAGGAAGTCAGTAGCTGCAAAAGCTCCTCAAATAATTATTCAAAGTCAAATATAAATAATCTTATTGCTCTTTTGGATTATGAATACATCATAGTTTTTTTATTGACATCCAATTCAAAGTTGGCCTATTGTCTGGTGGTATTAAAATGGATCACACGTGTAGCCCTTAATCATGCACATTGACTTGGAACACCTTGCTTAATCCTCATAATTCTATGAGGTAGGTATTACCACCTATGTACAGATGAAGAAACACATCCTGAGAGATGTGAATTTTAATGCAATTTCTATGAATGACATCTTTTTTTCAGAATCCTATGAAACACAATCCGGTAATTTTTAAGACGCTATACCATTCCTTCCTTACACCATATACAAAAATCAACTCAAGATGGATGAAAGACTTGAATGTAAAACTTAAAACTATAAAAACCCTAGAAGAAAACAGGAAAGGCCATGGACATAGGCCTTGGCAAAGACTTTATGATGAAGATGCCAAAAGCAATTGCAGCAAAAACAAAAATTGAAAAATGAGATCCAATAAAACTAAAGAGCTTCTGCACAGTAAAAGAAACTATCAACAGAGTAAACATACAACCTACAGAATGGGGGAAGAACACCTGCAAACTATGCATCTGACAAAGGTCTAATATCCAGCACCTGTAAGGAACTTAAATCAACAAGCAAAAACAAACAACCTCATTAAAAATGGGCAAAAGATGTGAACAGACACTTCTCAAAAGAAGACATGCATGTAGGCAACAAGCATATGAAAAACTGTTCACCATCACTAATCATTAGAGAAAAGAAAATCAAAACCACAGTAAGATACCATCTCACACCAGTCAGAATGGCTATGATGAAAAAGTAAAAAAAAAATAATAATAAGATGCTGGTGAAGTTCTGGAGAAAAGAGAACACTTATACACTGCTGGTGGAAATGTAAACCAGTTTGGCCACTGTGGAAAGCAGTTTGGAGATTTTTCAAAGAATTTAAAACAGAGCTATCATTCAACCCAGCAATCCCATTACTGGATATATACCCAAAGCAATATAAATTGTTCTACCATAAAAACACATAGACACGTATGTTCATTGCAGCATTATTCACAATAGCAAAGACATGGAATCAACCTAAATGCCCATCAATGGCGGAATGGATAAAGAAAACGTGGTACATATATACCATGGAATACTATGCAGCCATATAAAAAGAATGAGATCATGTCCTCTGCAGCAACACGGATGGAGCTGGAGGCCAGTATCCTAAGTGAACTAACACAGAACAGAAAACCAAATACTGTATGTGCTCCTTATAAGTGGGAGCTAAACATTGAGCATACATGGGCAAAAAGAAGGGAATAATAGGCACCAGGGCCTACTTGAGGGTGGAGGGTGGGAGGAGAGGGAGGACTGAGAAAATGCCTATCAGGTACTATGCTTATTACCTGGGTGACAAAATAATCTGTACACCAAACCCCCATGATATGCAATTTACCTATATAACAAACCTGCAAATGTACTCCTGAACCTAAAATAGAAGTTGGAAGGAAAAAAATACATTCCACAAATGGAAACAATAAAATCTACAATTTGAACATTTATTTGAATAGCTGGACGTGTCATCAGAACAACTCTTGATGCTTATTTAAGCACCCAGAGCAACCTAAAGAGAACATGAGGTTTAAGAACCACTGATGAGGAATCAAAGCCCTACTTTAAAGAGTATAAATATATATTAAGTAGTATATACATATATATACACACACACATTTTAAAGAAGTATAAAATGAACACTTGTATACTTAACACCAAGAAATTGAATATTAACATTGAAGCACCCAGGGCTTCTCCTGTATTGCATTCTTCCCTAGAAGTGATCACCAGCCTGTTTTGAATTATGCCTATGCTTTCGCTATTTTGCCACACCGTATCTTCTATAATATGGTCTTGTTTGCTTTTAGGCCATATGTAAATAGCGTATATATTGACATGCACACACATCCCCTTTGATGACTTAGTATTTTATCTTTAACAGTCTATTTGACATTGGTTCCTGCTGATGCTTGTGACTGTAGATCACACTCACTCCTTCACAATATTACATTGTATGGAAGTATTCATTTTGTCCATTCTGTTGGTGGGCCTTTGAGTTGTTTCCAGCTTTTTTCCCTCAGGTACAAATAATGCTTCCATGAAGATTCTTATAATTGGTTTCCTTGGTATATTCGTACCAACATTTCTTTAGGGTGAAACTATAAATTGCAGAGACTACTTACTTTAAAACTTATTAGGTAATAATGACTTATTTTCTAAGGTGGCTGTACCAATTTACACTGCTACTATAATTTCATGAGAGTTCTTGTGGCACCCTGTCCTCACCAATTCTTATCCAACATGTGAATGTTACCATGTAGTTTTCATCTGTATTTCCCTATTTTCTTCTAAGACTTTAAAAGTTTTGCTTTCATTTAAGTCCTTGACCCATTTAAATTTGACTTTTGTGCATGAAATTATATATATATACCTGCCCTTTTGAAAATTTCCTTATATTTCTCATATTAAGAATTTTCAAAGATTTTTCTTTCCCCTTATCTCAATCCCCATCCTTTATGAAGAGATTCAATGAATTAAAGAATATGAACCCATACAGAACTTCAGAGATGTACACTTTCTAAAGAATATGGTGAGTTTTTTGGACATAGAACAAATACAAATGAAAATAATAACAAATACTATGTTGGGCCTCACAAATTAGCAAAATATATTCTTAATAAGGCTAATTAATCTCAGAGTGTTGTAAAACGAGCATTGTTATACACACTATTGGTGGTGCATACAATCCAAAAGGTGCATGCATACCTTTGCAAAGGTAATTTGAGGCTAACTGCATGGAAGGCTTTAAGGGTGTCCACCATTTTTTAAGGAAATTTAACTTTATGAAATCTATCCTATGGAAATAACTTTAAAATCATAAAGTATGCACTAAGATGTTCATCGCAGTGCCTGTCTGTATATCTTAACCACTTTTGAGCTATTGCCATTTTTGCTACTATGTGTGTGTATATATGTAATTGTCCCCTTCTTTAAAATGTTCTGTTTTTTTCAAAACTAATTTTTCTATGAGCTTGTCCTTCATATATAACAGAAACATGTAATGTATAAAAATATAAACATCATTTTGTTATTAAAGTACTCAGATTTTTGGTGTCTGTCAGCAGCAAAGTGGTAGGACACATACTATTTGTCGAGCTGTGCATTAGCTTCTGACAACTGGATGATGGAAGGAATTGTTGCAGCTTGTGTGCACCTCACTTCTGGCCATAGTTTCAGATTAGTGTGCAAAAATAGGATCCTAGAAACTATGGAAAAAGCTTCATTGCATTAAGTGAACATCTTCTGTTTAAAAAGAATAAAAAATAAAATATATACAGGCAAGAATTTAGTAGAACAATTTGTATAAGAACGAGCTGCAGCCCAGTACTCCTATTTGATGACATCAAATAAAGGTGAGACTATTTGGAATTCTGAAATGAGCTAACCTCACTCTGTAACTTGATATTACTGAAATGGTTATTAGTGAGCTGTAGGGGGCGGTGCAGAAGAAACTAGTGTTTGTTGAGTGCCTTTATGTGCCAGGTACTTCAAAACATTGTTTCACTAATCCTCATAATGACCCTGCTAAGTAGGTACTGTGAGTTCTGCTTTACACGTGAAGAAAGCTCATGGAGTTAAGCAACATGACCAACCTTAGCACGGTGCCTGAAATACAGTAAGTGCTCAATAAATATCTTTTGAATAGATGGTAGGCAATATACCTAACTAGTGGAAGAACCAGTATTCATACTTAGATCCATCTTATTGCATAGCTCACACTATTTCCATCATAGTGTATTGCCTTCTGTGTAAGACTATACAGAATCATTTTAAATGCCTGAGAAAGAGCACTGCCAATGTAAACATAGCTAGTAAGCCCTGCAACCCGTGATTTCTCCCTTTATATCAGAACAATTTCAATTTCAAAAAATGTATGCATTGTGAAGGATGAGAAAAGACAGAAAACAGGATCTTCAAGGGCTTTACAGTTACTTAACACAGATAGTACATGAAAATAACAAATATATATGAAAACATCGTATGTGTATGGAACATTTTATTAATACAGCTCATCCATTTTTTGTTGAGTTCTACTGACTTTTTAAAATTTATTTTAAGTTCTGGGATACATGTGCAGAACATGCAGGTTTGTTACATAGGTATACATGTGCCATGGTGGTTTGCTGCACCTATCAACCCGTCATTTAGGGCTTAAGTCCCACATGTATTATGTATTTGTCCTAATGCTCTCCCTCCCCTTGCCCCCCACTCACACCCACCACCAACAGGCCCTAGTGTGTGATATTCCCCTGTGTCCATGTGTTCTCATTGTTCAACTCCCACTTATGAGTGAGAACATGTGGTGTTTGGTTTTCTGCTCTTGTGTTAGTTTGCTGAGAACAATGACTTCCGGCTTCATCCATGTCCCTGCAAAGAACATGAACGCATCCTTTTTTATGGCTGCATAGTATTCCATGGTGTGTATGTGACACATTTTCTTTATCCAGCCTATCATTGATGGGTATTTGGGTTAGTTCCAAGTCTCTGCTACTGTAACATCATCTGAAATGTGTTAATTTTATGAATGTTAGGTGTTATGTCTCTTTTCCTTTTTTGCCCCACACATCACTGAAACAAATTATTTGAAAATGCTAAAATAAGTAAAATGTGTGGCATGCTTTCTTAGATGCTTTGTCTCCTGTACCAAAATAATTTACAAATACAAAAGTTGAAAATAATTGTATTAGTTTTTTAATGCATAAATCCAAACATATATTTGTACTGAATATTTTATTAGCTAATAGAGTACCATTTTAAAAATTCTACCAACTTATTTAAAATATTTCCTGTAAAAACATCATCCAAAATGTACTTTGTTAATTTTTATGAATGTTAGGTGTTATGTCTCTTCTCTTTGACGCTTTCTTTTTTATCCTGTGCTTACACCAAAAACAAATTATTTGAAAATGCTAAAATAAATAAAATGTGGCATGTTTTCTTAGCTGTTTTGTATCCTGTTATAAAATATTTTACAACTGTGAAAGTTGAAAAATAACTTTATTGGTTTTGCTGCATATAACTGCCTGTCTACTGTAAGAGAACTCATCTATACAATTAAGGCATTTTGTTATTTCAAGTACAGAGGGGCAAGAATATAAGGGAATTATAAAAATCCCAAGATGACTCATTTAAAGTAGATGCACATTAAAATACTATAGATCTGGCATATTTCATATTTATAAAGCAGACAAAAAGAATGTTTATCTTTGCATTTGGCAAGAGTATCTTCAAGATAACTATTTACCACTTTTCAAAGCACTATTGTTGGGTAGGTTTTATTAGGGGAGAGGACTTAGAGAACATGACTTTCCTCATCCAAAACCAAAAACAAATGAGGGCTTAAAATATATTATTTAAGAAGACAATGGCCAGAAATAAAGACGATGACCAACAAGCTTTGGGGCCATCAAGATGAAAAGATCTTTGCTTTATTCAAGATCTAGGATCTGAAAATCTCACCTGATAAATTTAACTGGATTTTCTTTTCTGATTATGTTTAACTCCAAAATTTGGTTGTATACTGTAGCAATTTCTATTTTACCTGGATGTTAAAAGAAAAACCACTGGAATCTAAAGAGAGATGAATAACATCTTGAGCTTAGATGGAGAACTAGCCAGTGGCAAATATGTATCTAGTGGGGTAAATACATCTCAAGAGAGTCAAACCATTACAAAACAAGGTGTTTTTAAAAATAATTCAACTTGAAATTATAAAAAAAAAAAGCATTAAAAGGTATTAGAGATTTTTCTTAAGTGCTGGTAAAATAAAAACACCTTAAGAGACACACTGTTACAATTTCCTCACAGAGGTAAAGAGGTTGTGACCAGCATCAGCATCGTAAGGATGTCGTTTCAGAGCTTGATTCTTCTGCCCTAAGTGGTTCAAAGAGCTTGAGCGGGTACACTCTGGTACTAGGGAAAATCTGAAGCAATTCACCTAGTTGGATGAAAAGGACTTACGTGCCCTTGATTTATTAAAATTCATTGTTCTTTTATATACATTTCTCTTTAAAACTCTGAAATGAACATTTGTTTATGCAGTATGACATGAATGATTTCATAATGTATATGACAAGCTTAATAAGGCTGACATTCAATGAACAGAAAAGTAATTTACCTTTAAGTAATCAGAAAAACTTTCAATCCATTTTTATCTTATTTTTAAGTGTCTGTTATTAAAGCTTGTGATTTTTATTAATGTAAACAAGCCAAAGGGTGATTGTTTTTGACACACGGCATTGTACCATAGTGTAACGGGTAGTTTCCTTCTCAGTTAACCTTCAATACTCTGTACACACTATTCTGAAATACTGTGGTGAAGTCAGGCCTTGCATCTTTGAGCAGGACGCTACATAAGGGAGGGTTCGCTGCATTGGAAGGGTCTTCCACATCCCAGATTTCAAGCATACTGCAACCAGGCCTGAAAAAAGATAGACATATATATCCATATTAGAAATGTATTCCTGTCTAGAAAAAATAGATACATAACACAACATCCAGATTTTCAGAGACAGATTTATTTAATAAGTTAAATATTTTAAAGTGTCATTTCAAAAAACATAATTTCAATGTTTAGAAATTTAAAAAATAGAAATTAAGTACGTTGCATTTTCACATCTCATCTTACCAAATGAAAGACATATCCTAATAATAAACCTTCAATATACATTCATAAATATACATGTAAAAGCTCACTTTCAAGATGAAACAAACATAAATATACTCTCCAAGTGCCATCACCATCTAAACATAAGGCCCATTTGTAGTAAAATAAGACAACTTAAAACCTAATCGAATTCCTGATGAATTTCATATTTTTTAGCATAAACTGTCTTGGATTAGCATGAAATCATCCAAGGCAGGGACAGGAGACTCTCGTGGCAGTTTGTTTTCTTCAGGGCTTTCCCGTTTTGGGCGGCTGTATGACTGGGCTACACGAGACACTGTTCCTCCCCGGAGAGTGACCCTGCATGGCAGTCATTAAAGGGAAGGAGTCAGGCAAAACTGATGTCTAATTTTTTAACATCTATATTGAAGTATAAGTTATACACAATAAAATTCACCTACTTTATGGGTAAAGTTTGGCAGGTACGGACAAATGTGTATAGATGTGCAAGCACTACCACAATCATAATACAGAAAATTTCCATCACCCCCACAAGTTCCCTGTGCCCTTTTGCAATCTACCTCCTTCCCCAAACATGGCCTCAGGCAACTACTGTGCTTTCTGCACTATAGTTTTGCTTTTTCTAGGATTTCATATAAATATATTATTAGTCTTTTCACTTTTGGCTTCTTTACCATAGCATGTTTTTGATATTCATATCTGAGCTGTAGTTCCTACTTCTGTTGAGGTTCAGTAGTTCCTTCCTTTTTGTTGCTAAATAATATTTCATTGTATACAGAGAACACAATTTGTTTATCCATTTGCAAGTTAATGAACATTTGAGATGTTTTGAGTTTTTGGTGACCATGCACAATGCCACCATAAGCATTCATGGACAAGGCTTTTTGTGGACATGTGTTATCATTTCTCTTAGGGAAACACTTAGTGGAATTGCTGGGTTGCATGGTTATGTATGATTAAGTGCGGATTTATCTTTATAAGCAAGTGCAAAACCGTTTTCCAGAGTAGATGCGCCATTTTCCATTTCCACCAAAAATGCATGAGATTTTAAGTTGTACCAGTTTTTGTAATTTTAATCATTATAGTATGGTTATGGATGATTCAAAATATCTTCTTTGGTGGAATGTCTATTCAAATATCTTGCCAAATTTTGTGTTGTTTCTTATTGAACTGTGAGAGTTCTTTGTATATTCTGGGTAAACGTCTGCCAGATATTTTTAGCAGATGTATTAAGGTGTAATTGCTCAATAATTACCCAATAAGCTGCACATATTTAGTATCCACTTGGATACATATTAACATGTGTATACACCTGTAAAACAGCAGCCACAATAAAAATCATGAACATACCTATCTCTCCCAAAAGTTTACTTCTGCTCTTTTGTAATCCTAATTATTGCATGCTTTCTTTTTTGACTGGCTTCTTGTCCTCAGTAGAATTATTTTGAGATCCATCCATATTGCTGTATCAAATATGTTGCTCGTTTTTATTAGTGAGTAGTATTTACATTGTTTGGATATTCTAGTAGTGTGTTTATACGTTCATCTGTTGATAAATAAGTGGATTGTTTCCAGTTCAGGGCTATTACAGAAAATAAGGTGCTATGAACATTTGTGTACAATTACTGGGATGGATATATGCTTTCTTTTATCTTAATAAATACAGTAGTTGTATGTTTAACTTTTAATAAAATTGCTAAACTGTCTTGCAGAGTGGGTGTACAATATTACTTTTGCACCACTGGTGTATGAGAGTTCTAAGTCCTCCACAGTGTCAGCAACACTTGGCATCATCAGGTTTTCTTTTTTTTTTTTTCAATTATAGCTATTGTATTAAGTGTTTAGCGATATCTCACTGTAATTTGCATTTGCATTTCATAAATCACTTGTAACATCAAGCATCTTTGTGTGTGATTATTTTCCATCTGTCCTTTCGTCCTTTTTTTTTTTTTCCCCACAAGATCTTGCTCTGTTGCCCAGTGGAGTGCAATGGCACAATCTCGGCTCACTGCAACCTCTGCCTTCTGAGTTCAGGCGATTATCCTGCTTCAGCCTCCCGAGTAGCTGGGATTATATGCACCCACCATCACACCTGGCTTTTTGTATTTTTAGTAGAGATGGGGTTTCGTCATGTTGGCCTGGCGGATCTCGAACTCCTGACCTCAGGTGAGCCTCCCAAAATTCTGGGATTACAGGCATGAGCCACCCACTGCGCTCAGCCTATTTTGTCCATTTTTAATTGGGTTGTTTTCTTATTATTGGGTTTTGAGAGTTCTTTATATATCTAGAGAAAGTCCTTTATCAAACATAGGCTTTGAAAATATTTTCTCCCAGACTGTGGCTTATCTTTTAATTCTTAACACTGTTTATAAAAAAGCAGAGGTTTACAGTTTTAATGAAATCCTATTTATCAATATGTTCTCTTGTATATCATGATGTTACTGTATCTGAGAAATCTTAGCCTAATCCAAGGTTACAATAATTTTCTTCCATATTTTCTTCTAGAAATTTTATATTCTTAGATTCTTAGTAGCAAGTTACCTTCTACTCCTAGTTTCCTGAGAGTTTTTAATCAGTTATGGATACTGAATTGTGTCAAATACTTTTTCCTGAATGCACTGAGAGGATGATGCGGTCTTTCTTTTTCAGTTTGTTACTATGGTGAATTCACTTGATTGGTTTTCAAATAGTGAGACAACTCTGCATTCCTGGGATAAACTCTACTGGTACATTATGTATTGTCTTTCTTTAATATATTGCTGGATCCATTTGTTACAGTTGTACTTACAAATTTCACATACATGTTCATGATACATTTTGATTAGTTTCCTTTTATTGTAATGTTTCTCTCATGTTGGTTTCAGGATAATGCTGACCACACAGAACCAGCTGGGAAGTAATCCTTCCTTTTGAATTTTCTGGAATAGTTAGTAGAATTGGAATTATTTCCAGTGAAGATATCTGTCTTAAAGTTTTCTTTGTGACAATTCTTTTTACTACAAATATAATTTTATTAATAGATATAAGGTCATTCATAAAAAGGTATAGGTATAAGTTTTTCTATTTCTTAAGTGAGCTTTGGTTTTGCATCTTTCAAGGAACTTGTCCATTTTATCTATTTTGTCCTACTTAGTGGAGTAAAGTTATTCCTAAAACTCCCTCATTATCCTTTTCATTTCTTCAGATCCTGTAGTGATAAAATCTTTCTTATTCCTGATATTAGTAATTTCTGTCTTCAATCTTTTCGTTTGGGCAAAATTTATCAGTTTTATTAATCTCAAGAATCAGTATTTGGTTTTATTGACTTTTCCCTGTTTTGGGGGGAAATTCACACTGATTTTGATTCTAATCTTTATGCTTTCTTTTCTTCTCCTTACTTTGGAGTTTACTTGTTCTTTTTTTCTAGTTCCCTAAGGTGAAGCCGAGTGACTGATATGAGGCCTTTCTTCTTTTTCTATTATAGGCATTCAACATAAAAACAAATCTCTCTACTGCTGTATCTGCATCCCACAAATAGTGGGATGGTGTTCTCATTTTCCCTTAGGTCAAAATACGTTGAAACTCACCCTCCTTTTGTTTCTTCTTGACCATGGATTATCTGGAAGTGTATTGCTTAGTTTCTAAACATTTGAGGGAATTTTCATATAGAATTCTGTTACTGATTTCTAATTTAATTTCATTGTAGTCAGAGATTGTACTTTACACGACCTAAAGTATTTTAAATGTGTCAATACTTGTTTTGTGGCCTAGAAACTGATCTTTTTTGATAAATAGTCTGTGTGTGCTTGAATGTCTACTTTGCTGTTCTAGGGTGGTGTGTACTATAAATGTCAATTAGGTCATAATGGTTGATGGCGTTATTCAAGTCTTCTGTATTCTTGCTGGATTTCTTTTTATTCTACAAATTATTTAGAGATGGCTATTAAAATTTCTAACTATACTGTAGATTTGTCTATTTTTTCCTAAAGTTCTATCAATTGTGCTTCATATATTTGAAGCTCTGTTATCTGAGTGCATAAATGTTCAGGGTTGCTACATCCTCTTGAAATATAAATCCCTTCATTTAAAAATCCTTGTTTAACCTTGATAATATTCTTAACATTCGAATGTACTTTGATGTTATTACAGCCACTCCAGCTTTCACTGACTAGTAGTAGCATCACATGTCCCTTTCCTATCTGTTAACTTTTAACGTCTTCGTTTCTTTATATTTAAATAAATTTTTTGAAAGTAGCCTATAGTAGGGTCTTGCTTTGCTATGCAATCTGACAATTCTTGCTTTTCATTTGTGGTGTTTAGAGCTATATTAGTTTCCTATTGCTGCTACACCAAAGTACCATAAATAGTTGCTTAAAGCAACATGTATTTATTCTCTTTCAAATTTTGGAGCTCATAATTCTAAAATCATGGTATTGGCAGGACTCCAATCCTTCAGGAGGTTCGAGAAGAAAATCCACTTCCTTGCCTTTTCCAGCTCCTAGAAGCTGGCCTCATTCCTTGGCTCGTGGCCTTATATCACTCCAACTTCTGCTTCTACCATCACATCACCTTTTTGATCTCTTACTCTTTTGCCTCCTCCTTATAAAGACTTCATGATTACATCTGTCCTACCTGGATAATAAGGATAATCTCCACATCTCATGAGCATTAATTTAATCACATTTGCAAATTTCCTTTTTCCATGTGAGTAAGGTAATTCACAATTTCTGGGAGTTAGGACATGGCCATCGTGGGGGGCTCATTATTCAGCCTACCACAAGTCCATTTACACTTAATGTGATAATTGATATGGTTAGATTTAAGTCTATCATCTCGGTGTTTTCTCTTTGTTCCATCTTTGTCTCCCTTTTCCACTTCTTCTGTCTTATTTTGGATTGAGTGATTTTTATAATTCCATTTTAATCTTGTTTGTTGCCTTTTGGGTTCTGTCAATTTTTGCTTCATATATTTTGAAATTCTCTTTTAAGTTCATATGCACTCAAATTATTACATCCTTCTCCTGTACTGAACTATTCTGCATTATAAAACATAGTCATTTCCATAATATTCTTTGTCTTAACATCTATCTTATCTGATATTTATACATTTTTCACTTCAGCTTTCTAATGTTTACTCACATGATATCTTTTCCATTCTTTTTCCTTCAGCCAATATACATATTTGCATTTAAAATGCACCTCTTGCAGGCAGCCCATAGATAGGTTTTGCTCTTATATTCAGTTTGCCAATCTCCGCCTTTTGTTTGGAAGAATTTAGTCCTCTTTCACTTTGAAATTACTGATATGGTTTGATATAGGCTTGCTATTGTGCTCTTTTTTTTAAAAAAAAAAAACTTTATTTCAAGACATTTGGAGATCCACATTAAGTGAGAGATAATACAAGTAGCTCTTGTACAGTCTTTAGACAGTGTCCCCCGCCATGGTAACATCTTGAACATTTGTATAATATCACAGCCAGATAATTCACATTGATAGAATGGCGACAGAAAGCATTTCCATCACCATGGAGATCGCTTGTATAGCCACACATACTATACTTCGCCCACATTCCCACCCCACCCTAACCCCTGGCAACCACAAATCATTATCCACATTTATAACTTTGTCATTTGAAGACAGTTATATAAATGGAATCATACAGTATGTAACCTTTGGGTATTGTCTTTTCTGCAGTCAAACAATTCTCTGGAGATCCATCCAGGATCTTGAGTGTATCAATAGTCTGATCCTATTGCTGAGCGGTATTCCATGGTATGAATAGATCACTATTATTTAACCATTTATCTTGTGAAAAACACCTGGGTTGTTTCAGGTTTAGGCTATTACAAATAAAGCTGCTATAGACATTTTTCTACAGAATTTTGTATGAACACAACTTTTCACCTGTCTGCAAAAAAATGCCCAGTACAGTTGCTGGGTCTTAAGTTGGTTATATGTTTATGTTTTTTCCCCTTTTACTTTTAGTGTACAAGTAATACTTGTACATATTTATGGAGTATAGAGTGATATTTCAGTGCATAATTACAATATGTAATGATCAAATCAGGGTAATTAGGATATCCATCACCTCAAATGTTTACCACCTGTTTGTGCTGGGAACATTCAGAATCCTCTGTTCTGGCTTTCTTGACATATACGATAAATTACTGTTAACTAATATTCACTCTACAGTGCCAGAGAACACTAGAACTTATTCCTTCTATTTATCTCTAATTTTGTATCTCTTAACCACCCTCTCCTTATCTTCTCCTCCTCCTTACCCTTCCCACCTACCCTCTAATTACCACAATTCTACTCTACTTCTATGAGCTACTTCTTTTAGCTTCCACATGAGTGAAAATATGCACTATTCATCTTTCTGTAGCTGACTTATTTCACTTAATGCATCCAGGTTCATCCATGTCTAGGCTTGCCATTATGATCTCCCCCCCCTCCAGTTTTATTTATTTTTTTAGTGGTTTTTGTTAGGGATGACAACAAGCATCTTTAACTTGTTTTTTTTGTTTTTTGTTTTTTGTTTTTTTGAGACGGAGTCTTGCTGTGTTGCCCAGGCTGGAGTGCAGTGGCGCAATCTCGGCTCACTGCAAGCTTTGCCCCCTGGGTTCACGCCATTCTACTGCCTCAGCCTCCCAAGTAGGTGGGACTACAAGCATCTGCTACCATGCCCGGCTAATTTTTTGTATTTTTAGTAGAGACAGGGTTCACCGTGTTAGCCAGGATGGTCTCAATCTCTTGACCTCGTGATCTGCCTGCCTCGGACTCCCAAAGTGCTGGGATTACAGGCATGAGCCACGGCGCCTGGCCAACATATCATGATTTACTTATCATTTAAATTGGGTTATTTCTAATAAATCATACATTTCCATTTACTCAATTTTTGTGCTGTTGTCATGTATATTTAATTTCTATCATAAACTAAAAAATATAATGGTATCACCTTTGCCTTAAATAATATCTTCTAAAGATTTTCAGAGAAGAAAATGTGTAGTGATTAATATCCACATATTTACCATTTCCAGCGCATTTCGGTATTTCTTGTATATCTGAGTTACCATCTGGCATCATTTCTCATCAGCTGATAGAACTTCTTGTCCATCTTGAAGTATAAATCTGTTACCAACAAATTATGTTAGATTTTGTTGATCGGAAAAATGTACTCTTGGCCTCCATTTTAAAAAGATACTTTCATTAAATATAGAATTCTTGATTTTCCTTCTTCAGCACTTTGAATTATCATTCCAGTGTCTGTTAATTTCCACCATTTATGTTGATAAGTCAGATGTTTATATAGCATATCATTTTTTCTCTTCAAGATTTTCTCTTAATCTTTGATTTTACCACTTTGACTATAATGTGCCTTGCTTTGGTTTTCTTTGGGCTTAACCCAGTTGGATTTGTTGAGCTTAGCAGATCTTTAAGTTAGTAGCTTTCATCAAACTTGAGAAATTTTTGGCCAACATTTCTTCAATATTTTTTCCTTCATGTCTTTTTTTCATTACATCTAATGCTAAAATTATGCATGTGTTGAACTACTTAATGTTACACAGGTCTGTGACGTTGGTTATTTTTCAATATTTTTGGTTCTGTTCTTTTGATTAACTATTCTGTCTTGATCTATCTTCAAATTCACTGAATTTTCTGTTCAAATGTTCTGTTGGCATCTCAAAATTGTTGAGTACATTTAAATAATTTTCATTTCATTTATTATACTTTTCAGCTCTAGAATTTCCATGGGGGCTGGAGTATTTCTATTTCTCTGCTGAGATTCCACATCTCTTCACTCATGGATACCATGTTTTCTTTTGATTCATTGAATATATTTTTCTTAAGCCTTTGAATGTATTTGTAATAGTGGCTTTGCAATCTTTGGCTGCTAAATTCAACATCTGGACCTACGTGGATCGGTTTCTATTAACTTTTTTCAGAGTATTGGTCATACTCTCTCATTTTAGTTTGCATCTCTGAAACCTTTTGCACATTGCAAATGATATATTGAAGTGACTGTAGAACCCGTTTTGTTCTTCTGACTGCTAATGTGCTGTTCTAGGAGACAATTAATGTGCCTAAATTTCCTGTCATGTGCAGGAGCTAATATCTCTGCTTAGGAGCCTAAACAAAGGCCTCAAAAGATCAATTACACATCTTAGAATTTTATGATTTTTAGAGATTCAAAATTCAGAAATTAAAACATTTTAATTGGGAATGTTTTTCTTATGTCATTTTGGGTTTTGTCACTTTTCTTTTAAGTCTTACAAATCCAATATAATTCAGCTATATAGTACAGAATGCCAATATCTCACTTTGTTGTGAATTCAAATCCATATTTCAGATATCTAATAAAAATTTTCATAAATATTTCAAAAATTATGAAAAAAGCTAAGTTGAAGATGTTAAATTGAAAAATCAGGATATTAAAGTATACTATAATGTTTGGAATTAAATTCTTCTTCATTGATAGCATAGTTTTACTTCTGTAGATGAAATAATTTAAACTGAGATACCAGGATATTTTAATAAATTTAAAATAAAAATTCTTAAAGAATCAGGACTACTGTAATAAACTGAAACATTTGTTGCTTAACATTTGTTGCTTATACCATATCAGATAGCATAGGGTTAATACTCACTTAGTTCTCACAACACACCATGCCTCTTCTAAAACACAATAATTCACATGTAACTCCAACAATTTATCTCTTACTTCTTTGGCAGATTTTCGACTATATGTAGAATAAACTATTTTTGTCCGGGCCCTTTAAATTTAAACAATAGTTTAAAAGATTTTAAAATAAATAATAGAATAGACTAAAAAAATCTTACCGGCAAATTGAAATCTCAGTACTTACTAGACGGAACACTGATATACATGACTCAAAACAGCATCAATTATTTTGGGGATGGCAGTTTCCACATTCCTACTTATATTTTGAATGTAATAAAACTTACAGCAATTTAATTTTGCATATACTGCTCATTATTGTATAAAATAGTCTAAAGTTGTACTGGGTAGCAGAGAGCAGCTTAGGATATAAAATTTTCTTCTCATAATTCACAAAGTTTTCAGAGAATATATTCTGACAGAGACAGAATGCAGTGAAAACCTATCTTTCAATGCTTAATTTCATCTAAAGAAGCTCTGACAAACACATGAATTGAAATTGAGTGTATCAAGTAGAACACTTAGACAATGGGCATCCAGGGTGTCAGAACAGGTGGGAAAAGCACCTTCACAGAATCTTTTTTTTTTTTTTTTTTTTTTTTTTTGAGACAGAGTCTCACTCTGTCGCCCAGGTTGGAGTGACAGTGGCACAATCTGGCTCACAGCAAGCTCCGCCTCCGGGTTACGCCATTCTCCTGCCTTAGGCCTCCCGAGTAGCTGGAACTACAGGCGCCCGACACCACGCCCGGCTCATTTTTTGTATTTTTAGTAGAGATAGGGTTTCACCGTGTTAGCCAGGATGAGCTCGATCTCCTGACCTCCTGATCCACCCACCTCGGCCTCCCAAAGTGCTGGAATTACAGTCGTGAGCCACCGTGCCCGGCCCACAGAACCTTGAGAAATGGGGATGGTCACCAAAATACGGTACAATAGGTGATTTGACCATAGTGGGAGTTCTTACAAAATCCTGACAATCACTTATGCATTGGATGTTGCTTAGAATTTCAAGCATATGCTTAGTCACCACAGTGGTTTCCATGCCAGTTCACCACAGTAGAACAGAGAGCATCAGGTGCATTTCTAAGGTGTCTGACTCCAAGCCCTGGCTCCTAGACAGCAGACCTAAAACTTTTAAATAATTTAAACATTTGCCTCTAACAATAGGCCAAAAATCGCTTTAAAAAAAGATTACCCTGACAACTACTAGAATAACCAAAATAAATTTTTAAACCAGCCATTTAAGGAAAGCAAAACTTTGACATCAATGGAAACTAGAGTTCTTATAATCAGCTAACAAAAATACTCTAAATTTTCATGAAAGCAGGTAACATATAGTAGCAACTTTCATGTACTTTTTCTAACTGTCACAAAAGGCTAGTCATTAGCCACCAGTAAGATTTAGAAATCATTTCTTAAATCAGAGTGGGGCTTGTGGTGTAGAGCAGGGGTTGGCAAACCATGGCTGTGAGTAAAATCCATCCTATCTCCTGTTCCAACTACCTAGTAGTTTCACTGGAATACACACACACATCATAAATATGTGACACGTTTGTCACTTTAGGAAAAATTGGCTTTTGCATTTTTCAGTTTTCAGAGGTCTGCTTGCTCCAGAGGCAACAGGTATGTATTGTCATTTCTGGACTGGTTATTGTCATTTTTTTTTTAACTTCCAGCATGAAAATAAGGATGAGTTTGTGTGTGTGTGTGTGTGTGTGTGTGTGTGTGTGTATAAAAATGTTCCAAATTCCTAAGAATTGGGAGTCACCAAGTGAGTCTTGGTGAAATACTCATCGGCTGCCAACCTCAAGTCTGCATCTTCGTAAAGTGGATGATTCACAATGGGATGAAGTGTAGACAGCTTGACACTTGCCATTGTAGGCATGGCACCTGCGAAGACAGCACCTGGAAAAAAAAAAGGCTATATTCTTCAATGAAATGTTTTAAAGAAAATCAGAAGTTAAACTTACCTCTAATATGTGAACCCAGATTAAGAAGGATGATGCCAATTTACATGACCAGGGACCTCATTCTTTTTATTGACTCAATAGTTATTCATTGTCTACTATAATAATAGCTGACTTTTGTTAAATGCTATCTTGGTGCTAGAAACTGTGCTCTATATTTTAATAAGAATTAAATAACTTAATTTGCACAATTCTAAGAGGTGGATCCTCTGTTCTTACTTTGTAGAATCTACAAACTGAGCATGTAAGGGGTCTGGGTTGTGCACTCATTAGAATCTAATGCCTGATGATCTGAGGTGGAACAATTTCATCCAGAAACCACCCCATATCCCCCAGTTCTGTGGAAAAAATGGTCTTCCATGAAACCAGTCCCTGGTGCCAAAAAGGCTGGGGACTGCTGTTATAGACGATGAAGAGACAGAGCCAAGTTAAATGACTTGCCCAAGACTGCACAGCTAAGAAGTTCCAGAGCCTGCCCTCTTAGCTGCTTCACTAAAGCTTCCTGCTATGCTAGAGCACCACGCGAACAGCAGGACTACAGACACACATGAAACAAAAAGAATGTAAAATGTCATATCTGTTCCAATAATGTGGAATGCCAGGAACTGAGAGGCTGCTATGAAGGGCAAGTCTCATGAGACATTTTTTCAAATGACTTTTGTGGCTTGTGAACTGTGGTCCTGTGGATGTGCCATAAAAAAAGAAAAGCATTGTTTTCTTCCCTCAGATCATCTTTAATTAAGTTCTCAGAGTTATCATTTGACTTAACACCATTTATACATGCCATGAAATCATTTTATTACTTGCTGCTAGTACTTTTTGGAGTAATAACATGTATAAATTTGGTCATAACTAGAGATACAGCAAAATCTACTATCTGGCTTCCATTTCATCTCTCTTTTTTTTTTTTTTTTTTTGAGATAGAGTCTCGCTCTGTCGCCCAGGCTGGAGTGCAGTGGCGCGATTTCCACTCACTGCAAGCTCCGCCCCCGGGGTTCACACCATTCTCCTGCCTCAGCCTCCCATGTAGCCGGGACTACAGGTGCCCGCCACCACGCCCGGCTAGTTTTTTTGTATTTTTTTAGTAGAGACGGGGTTTCACCGTGTTAGCCAGGATGGTCTTGATCTCCTGACCTTGTGATCCGCCCGCCTCGGCCTCCCAAAGTGCTGGGATTACAGGCGTAAGCCACCGCGCCCGGCCCATTTCATCTCTTGAAACACCAGAAGACCAAATGCTTACTTCTTGGTACTTTTATATAAAAAACAATTATATAATTGTGAAGATTATTATCATTTTTAATCAGCACAATAAAATCAGTAATAAAGACAAGACACATTATTCAGATCTACTGTAAAAAACTGTATGTTGGAGAGGAGGTAGAGCATGATAACCAAACAGAAGCCTCCACTGTTCATCCTCCCTTCAGGAACACCAAATTTGATAAGGATCTACACAAAAAGCATCTTCATAAGAATCAAAGGTCAGCTTAGGTACCAGCGTGGCTGCAGTGGGGAGGAGCACCAAGCAGGCTCTTGTGGTCCCCGATTCCAGGGCTCTTGGATGGCATTTCTGGACCTGCCATGGGCTGGAAGAGAGCCCATTGCCCCGAAGGGCGAGTCCCAGGCCTGGCAGCACTCACCACAAGCTGACTGAAGGGTTCTTGGGCCTTAAGTGGATGTTGGCGGTAGCCAGGCAGTACCTCCCATGGGCCTGTGGTAGTGGTGGAAATGGAGAGAGACCCCTCTGCCTGGGGAAAGGGGAAGGAAGGGTGGGAAGGACTTTGGTGGTTTCAGCACCAGCTCAGCTGCAGTAGAATAGAGCATCAGGTAGATTTCTAAGGCATCTGAGTCCAGGCCCTGGCTCCTGGACAGCAGCATCTCTGGACCTGACTATGACCTGGGGGATCTTGCCACCCTGAAGGGAAGGTCACCAAAGTCTGGTTTGCTTTGCCACCTGCCGACTGTAGAGCCCTACACCTTGAGCAAACATAGGTGGTAGCCAGGCAGTAGTTACAATGAGCCTTGGGCAAGACCCAGTGCTGTGCTAGCTGCAAGTCTGACCCAACACATTCCCAGTAGTGGTGGCCACAGAGGTGTTTATATCACCCCACTCCTAGCTCCAGGCAGCTTAGCACATAGAGAGAAAGAGAGAGAGAGAGAGACTCCATATGGGAGAGAGTAAGGGAAGAAAACAAGACCTTCTGCCTGCTAATCCTGAGAATTCTGGATTTTATCCAAGACCACCAAGGTAGTACCTCTAAAAGTCTGCAATAGCTTCAGCATTACTGGGCATGGGGTGCCGCCTAGTGCAGATACAGCTGCAGTGACCAGAAACTTAGATCACAACACTGAAGTCCCTTTGAATACCTGGAAAGCCTTTCCAAGAAGGATGGGTACAAACAAGCCCAGACTGCAAAAACTACAATAAATACCTAACTCTTCAATGCCCAGACACTGACAAACATCCATAAGCATCAAGACCATCCAGGAAAACATGACCTCACCAAACAAACTAAATAAGGCACTAGGGGGCCAATCCTGGAGAGACAGAGATATGTGGCCTTTCAGACAGAGAATTCAAAATAGCTGTGCTAAGGAAACTCAAAGAAATTCAAGATAACACAGAGAACAAATTGGTAATCCTATCGGATAAAGTTAACAAATAAACTGAAATAATTAAAAAGAATCAAGCAGAAATTCTGGAGCTGAAAACTGCAACTGACATACTGAAGAATGCATCCGTCTCTTAATAGCAGAACTGATCAAGCAGAAGAAAGAAATAGCGAGCTTGAAGACAAGGAGTTAGAGAGAGAGATAGCAGTAGGAAGTTTATTCAAAAGTATAACAGAGAACCTCTCAAAGCTAGAGAAAATATCAATATTCAAGCACAAGAAGGTTCTAGAACATCAAGCAGATTTAACCCAAGGCTAACTCAAGTCATTTAATATCAAACTCCCAAAGTTCAAGGATAAAGAAAGGATCCTAAAAGCAGCAAGAGAAAAGAAACAAAAAACATACAATGGAGCTCTAATACATCTGGCAGCAGACTTTTCAGTTGAAACCTTAACAGGCCAGGAGAGCATGTCATGACACACTTAAAGTGAAGGAAAAAACCTTTTACCCGAGAGTAGTGTATCCAGAGAAAATGTCCTTCAAACCTAAAGGCGAAGACTTTCCCAGACAAACAAAAGCTGTGAAATTTGATCAACACCAGACCTATCCTACAATAAATGCTAAAGGAAATTCTTCAATCTGAAAGAAAAGGACATTAATAAGGAAGAAAGAATTGGAAGGTACAAAATTCACTGGTAATAGTACGTACACAGAAAAACACAGAATATTATAGCAGTGTAATTATGGTATATAAACTACTTATAGGATAAGTAGGAAGACAAAAAGATGAACCAATAAAAAATAACTACAACAACTTTTGCAGAGACAGACAGCACAATAAGATATAAATAGAAATAACAAAAAGGTAAAAAGTAGGGAGATGAAGTTAAAGTTTAGAATTTTTATTAGCTTTCCTTTGGCTTATTTGTTTATGCAATCAGTGTTGTCATCAGTTTAAAATAATGGGTTATAAGATATTATTTGCAAGTCTCATGGTAAACTCAAGTCTAAAAACATACAATAGATATGCAAAAAATAAAAAGCAATAAGTTAAAACACACCACCAGAGAAAATCACCTTCAATGAAAGACAAAGAGGAAAGAAGAGAAGACCACAAAACGATGAGAAAACAAATAACGAAATGGCAGGGGTAAGTCCGTATCAATAATAACACTGAATGTAAATGGACTAAACTCTCCAATCAAAAGACAAAGAGTGACTGAATAAGAAAACAAAACCCTAAGAATCTGTTTCACCTACAAGAAACACACTTTACTTGTAAAGGCAAATATAGACTGAAAACAAAGGGATGGAAAATTATATTCCATGCCAATGGAAACCATAGAAGAACAAGAATAGTCATATCAGACACAATAGATTACAAGACAAAAACTATAAAAAGAGACAAAGAAGGTCATTATATAATGATAAAGGGGTTAATTCAGCAAGAGTATATAACAGTTGTAAATATATATACACCCAATACTGGAGCACCCAGATACATAAAGCAAATATTATCAGAGCAAAAGAGAGAGACAGATCCAAATACAATAATAGCCTGACACTTCAACACCCCACCTTCAGCAGTGGACAGGTCATCTAGATGGAAAAATCAATGAAGAAACACTAAACTTAATCTGCACTATAGATCAAAAGGACCTAATAGATACCTACAGAACATTTCATCCAACAGCTACAGAATACACATCCTTCTCCTCAGCACATGGATCATTCCTTAAGGATAGACCACAAAACAAGGACAGGCCACAAAACAAGTCTGAAAACATTTTTAAAAATGGAAACAATATCATGTATCTTTTCTGACCACATTGGAAAAAAACTAGAAATCAGTAGTAAAAGGAATTTTGGAAATTCTACAAACATAGAAATTAAAAAATATGCTCCTGAATGACCAGTTGGTTAATAAAGAAATTAAGAAGGAAATTGAAAATTTTCTTGAAACAAATGATAATGAAAACACAACATATCAAAACCTATGGGATACAGCAAAAGCAGTATTAAAGAAGGAAGTCTATAGCTATAGGTGCGTACATCAAAAAAGAAGAAAAAGGCAAACAAAACCCAAAGTTAGTAGGAAAAATAAAATAATAAAGATCAGAGCAGAAATAAATGAAATTGCAATGAAGAAAACAATATAAAAGATAAACTGGTTTTCTGAAAAGACAAAATTAACAAACCTTTAGCCAGACTAAGAAAAAAAGAGAGAAGGCCCAAATAAATAAAATCAGAGATTAAAAAAAAAGGAGACATTACAACCAATATCGCAGACATTAAAGGATCATTAGAGACTACCATGAGCAACTGTATGCCAATAAATTGGAAAACCTAGAAATGGATAAATCCCTAGATACATAAAACCTACCAAGATTGAACTATATAGAAATCCAAAACCTGAACAGACCAATCACAAGTAATGAGATCAAATCTCTAATGAAAAGTCTCTCAGCAAAGAAAAGCCCAGGACCTGATGGCTTCACTGCTGAATTTTATCAAACATTTAAAGAAGAACTAATATCAATCCTACTCTAACGATTCCAGGAAATAGAGGAGGAGGGAATACTTCCAAACCCGTTGTATGAGACCAATATCACTTTAATACCAAAACCATACAAAGACCCATCAAAAAAAGAAAACTGTGGGCCAATATCTCTGATTAATGTTAATGCAAAAATCCTCAACAAAATGCTAGCAAACTGAATTCAATAACACATTAAAAAGATTGTTCATCATGACCAAATAGGATCTATCTCAGGGACACAAAGATGGTTCAACACAGCAAATCAATGTGATACGTCATATCAACACAATGAAGGGGAAAAAATCATATGATCATCTCATCTCCATAGATGCAGAAAAATCATTTGATAAAATTCAACATCCTTTCATGATAAAAACCTTTAAAAAAACTGGGTATAGAAGGAACATTAATCAACATAATAGAAGCCATATACAGCAGACGCACAGCTAGTATCATACTGAGTGAGGAAACAGTGAAAGTCTTTCTTCTGAGATCTGGGACATGACAAGGATGCTCACTTTTTACCACATTATTCAACATAGTATTGGAAATCCTAGCTAGAGCAATCAGACAAGAGAAAGAAATAAAGGGCATCCAAATTTGAAAGGAAGAGGTCAAATTATCATTGTTTGCAGATGATATGATCTTATATTTAGAAACAACTAAAGTCTCCACCAAAAAAAACTGTTAGAACTGACAAATTCAGTAATGTTGTAGGATACAAAATCAGACAAAAATCATTAACATTTCTATATGCCAACAGAGAACAATCTGAAAAAGAAAATTTAAAAAGTAATTCCATTTACAGTACCCACATATAAAATTAAATACCTATAAACTAACTAAAGAAATGAAAGGTCTCTAGAATAAAAGCTATACAAAACTGGAGAAAGAAATTGAGGAAGACACAAAAAATGGAAAGCTATTCCATGTTCAAGCATTGGAAGAATCAGTATTGTTAAAATGTCCATACTATTCAAAGCAATCTACAGATTCAATGCAATCCCCATCAAACTACGAATGATATTCCTCACACAATCCTTATTTATATGAAAACACAAAAGACCTAGAATAGCTAAAGCTACCCTGAGCAAGAACAACAAAACTGAAGGAATCACAATACCTGACTTCAAATTATACTACAGAAGTAGTAACCAAAACATCACGGTACTGCCATAAAAACAGACACACAGACCAGTGGAACAGAATGGAGAACCCAGAAAGAAATCCATAGATCTACAGTAAACTCATTTTTTATAGCAGTCCCAAAAACATACACTGGGGAAAGGGCAATCTCTTCAATAAATGGTCCTGGGAAAACTGGATATCCATATGCGGAAGAATGAATGTACACCCCTATCTCATGCCATATACAAAAATCAAATCCAAATGGATTAAAGACTTAAATCGAAGACCTCAAACTCTGAAATTACTACAAGAAAACTTTGGGGAAACTCTCCAGGACTTTGGATTGGGCAAAGATTTCTTGAGTAAATACCCGCAAAGCACAGGCAACCAAAGCAAAAATGAACAAATGGGATCACATCAAGTGTAAAAGCTTCTGCACAGCAAAGGAAACAATCAGCAAAGTGAAGAGACAACCCAAAGAATGGGCGAAAATATTTGCAAACTACCAATCTGACAAGGAATTAACAACCAGAATATACAAGGAACTCAAACAACTCTGTAGGGAAAAAAAAAATCTAAAAGTCTACTTAAAAATGGGCAAAAGATCTGAATAGACATTTCTCAAAAGAAAACATACAAGTCACAAACAGCTACACGAGAAGGTGCTCAACATCACTGATGATCAGAGAAATGCAAATCAAAAACTACAGTGAAATAGCATCTCACTCCAGTTAAAATGGCTATTACTCAAAAGACAGGCAATAACAAATGGCTGTTATCCAAAAGACAGGAAAAGATGTGGAGAAAAGGGAACTCTCGTACACTTTTGGTGAAAATGTAAATTAGTACAACCACTATGTAGAAGAATTTGGAGGTTCCTCAAAAAACTAAAAATAGAGTTACCAAATGATCCAGCAATCCTACTCTTAGATATATACTCCAAAGAAAGGAAATAAATGTTTAGAAGAGTTATCTGCACTCCCGTGTTTATTGCAGCACTTCTCACAATCGCCTAGATTTGGAAGCAACCTAAGTGTCCATCAGCAGGTGAACGGATAAAGAAAATGTGGTACACTGACACAACGCAGTGCTATTCAGCCATAAAAAAGAATGAGATCCTGTCATAAAAAAAGAATGAGATCCTATCCATAACATGGATGGAACTGGAGTCTTTTACATTAATTGAAATAAGCCAGGTACAGAAAGACAAAGTTTGCATGTTCTTACTTATTTGTGGGAGCTAAAAATTAAAAGAGTTGAACTTAGGGAGATCAAGAATAGAATGAGGGTTACCAGAGGCTGGGAAGGATAGTGAGGGGGTAGAGGGGAAGTGAGGATGGTTAATGTGCACAAACAAAATAGAAAGAAAGGATAAGATGTAGTGTTTGGTAACACAGAAGGGTGACTATAGTTAACAAAATTTAATTGTACAATTCAAAGTAACTGAGAGAGTATTACCGGATTGTTTGCAACACAAAGGATCAATGCTTCAGGTGATGGATACTCCATTTACCCTGATGTGATTATTACACATTGTATGCCTGTATCAAAATATCCCATCTACCCCATAAATATACACACCTGCTATGTACCCACATAAATTAAAAACTTTGAGAACCCTGAGTGTTTCCTTTCCAATATAACTAAGCATTCTAAAAGCAACTTTGAATGAAAATTTCTTTATATGCCCCAAACTTGAAAATATGTAAGCCAGTCAAAGAATGTGTATTTATTATTGGAGACTCAATAATTAATGATGACAAGCTGTTAAGCTAGAGAAGTGGTTCTCAAGCAGGCATGATTTTGCTCCCTAGGGAGCACTGTCAACTCTGGAGACATTTTTGGATGTCACGCTATGGGGAGGAGGGAGGAGATGCTGTTGGCATCTTGTAGATAGAGGCCAGGGATTTCTTGTAATACACAGGACAGCCTCAGTGTCAACAGTGCTAAGGTTGGGAAATGCTGGGCAAGAAGAACTGAAAGCCCAGGGCCAGGGTCTTCCAGAAAAAACTAGGCACACCTGTCCAGCAAGAGCTGGGCCCACTGAGCTGTCCTCTATGGCAGACAGAGAGGAAGAAATACCCTCCCCCTCCACCGTCTGTCTTTTTGGCTGTGAAGTAAATGAGCATAACAAGGAAAAATCAGATATTTTCCTATCACTGTATGGAAGTCTCCATTTAGCCTACACACAGATTAGAAAAAGGTATTCCCCTGACTTGACAGAGCCCCATTTGTACATAGCATGATGAGTGGACCACAAGCTGGATTTAAGCTTTCACTTATCCTCTCAATTGGTCACCTTTGTGCAGTGCACAAACTATACAACCTTACACGGCAGACCTCAACATAAGCACGAGTCCCACTAATACTACAAAACTTCATACAGCTTTTAATATGTGGTAACCATGAGATAACTCATAATAAGAGTAATTAAAAGGAGAACAAGACAGATTGAAAAGAAGATCAAAGAAGAGGCATCTAAAAGTGAGATAGGGGTTTGTGGCAGTTATCTTAGAAGGATAAGTTGCCAAATGTAGGCTCTCTGTCAGGAACGTAATACAAACACCAGAACAAAGAAAGACACAAGAAAAGATTAAAAGGGCAGCTATCTTTAAAAGCTTGGGAAAAATAGCCATAACTGGGGAGGGGCAAGAGAGAGAAAAGAAAGGGAGTGATTATCTTGAGCTCCTATGTGGAAAAAGTCTGTTGGGGATTACTTTTAAAATTCGAATTAAACTGGCTTGGCAGTTTAATGAGGCACTGTCACCTACACCCTTTGAAAGCTATAGACCAAATATCTTAGTTAATGCCTATAAAGATTTACCTTAATGATGGTTAATTAGCAAAAAAGTGGCTATCAAATAAGAAATAAGAGGAAACAAGCTCAGGAGTCATAAGAAAATTTAAATAAACCACAGTGAAGAACTCGTACCAGAGAAAGTTTCTAAATATCAAAAATAATCTTAGATTTACAAATTTAGTTACAGAAAATGTTATAGAATATACTTATTCTCTGGAAAGGTATTTAAAAATATCTATCTGCTTGGGATAGTTCTGAATAAAGACAGGAAGAAAAGAAGGTAAGCTAAAAAGAAAATTTTGGAGTATTTAAAAGTAGGGTGTATACTATCTCAGTGAGATGATTTCATGAAGAAAATAGAATATCCAAGACTTTAACTCTTCTGCCGATGACCTGTTTACAGAATTAGAGGAGATGGCACTGATTGGAGTGACAGAAGCGGTGCCAGTTCTCCCCACCATCAAGAGTATCTTCTGCTGTGCCTGGCACAAGGTGTGAAATTTCATTTTTAAAGATTTATTTCTTTGATTTGTCATTGTTATGGTTAAAATGCTATAGTGCTCTCTGAGAGTTAAAAGGACATAACTTGTGAAAAATCATTAATTTCCTGGTGCTAATTTAAATTTGATAATTATCTGGGAGGGGCTTAAAGGGGGCGCGAAATTGTGTTTTGGAAGGGTTTAATTGATTGACATTGCAATAGTCTGCTCAAAGTCTGTGAGAGTATGAATGTCTATTTGTAAATCTGCCATACACACATAAACACATATATCAGAAATAAGAATTATATAGTATACACAAATGTGTTTGTGAGTATGTTTGCGTAAAACTATGCATATAACCAAAATACCTACACACCTGGTGTGGTATTGTATTTGATCCACTGTAAAAGTTCTTCCTGAGGCAAATTATTAAATTCTCCTATTATGCTCCATTGATTATGGAGGTTTGCATAACCTTGTATTGACATCACTGTTAGAATGCCAAAGATAACATTCTCAAAACGAACTCTGCGAAAAAGCCAGCCAAAGAGCTGAAACGACAGAAATCATTTATTTATAGTTCTTATATGAAGCGTACTGTAGGGTCAACAATAAATTCTCACCTTGTTACTCAAACCAATGTGAATTACCCTTTGATATCAGCACACACGTATACAGAATTACCATCTCCGGTTGTTTCTAAAGCAACGAATATGTTGGCATTACAGGGCCCAGGTGAAAACGGAACTTTCTCTCCCCTGGGAAGAATTAAGGAAGGAATGCCTGATCCTTCTAGTACTAATTTACTACCAAGGATTAAAATAAACAAATCACAGCTGTGAAACATCTTAGAACTAAATCCTTTCATCCTTGGCTGCCTTTTGTGGACATCGTTAGTAGACAGGGAAGCCCTATTAGCTTGACATATATAGATTCTTCTCAGGAAAACAGGCATTATGGTATTTTAAGGCTATACACTCATAATCAAAACTAAGTAAGGTGTTTGTAGAAGTACCTGAGGCCCAATATTCTAGCTAATTTATCTAGTTCTTTTGTATGTTAGATACAGTGATAGAACCCCAGAATTTCTTACAGATTCTTTGAGCCAAACAGGACCGTACTAGAGCAATTACTCTGCATCTGCTCTGGTATTGGATGAGCACTTCAGGGTACTCTTTTTTTTTTTTAGACGGAGTCTCACTCTGTCTCCCAGGCTGGAGTACAGTGGTGCGACCTCAGCTCACTTCCACCTCTGCTTCCTGGGTTCAAGCAATTTTCCTGCCTCAGCGTCCTGAGTAGCTGGGATTACAGGCACACACCTCCGTGCCCGGCTAATTTTTGTATTTTAGTAGGGACAGGGTTTCACCATGTTGGCCAGGCTGGTCTTGAACTCCTGACCTCAAGTGATCTGCCCACCTCGGCCTTCCAAAGTGCTGGGATTTCAGCTGTGAGCCACTGTGCCTGGCCACCAGGAAACTCTTTTTTTTTTTTTTTTTTTGAAACAGAGTCTCACTCTGTCACCCAGGTTAGAGTGTTGTGGTGCAATCTTGGCTGACTGCAGCCTCTGCCTCCCAGGTAAGCGATTCTCCTGCCTCAGCCTCCCAAGTAGCTAGAATTACAGGCACTTGCCACCATACCTAGCTAATTTTTGTATTTTTAGTAGAGATGGGGTTTTACCATGTTGGCCAGGAAGGTCTCGAACTCCTAGCCTCAAGTGATCCACCCATCTAGGCCTCCCAAAGTGCTGGGATTACAGGTGTGAGCCACTGTGCCAGGCACTCTTACACAAACCTGAACTCCAAAAGGTTATGTTCATGGACAGGATATTAAAAGAGGGGAAATATTTGCCTAATCGCTTGTTATAGAACTATCAATTAAAATCTAGAAATACTTTTCAAAGCCACTTGAAATTGCTTTTCTTGCTTATACTGAATCATGAAGTAATATTTTAAATCATTTAAGTTAGTTAAGTTAAAAACACTTAGTGTGTTTATATTTTGAATTAGTTGGCAAAGCCGCAGTAATTATAAGTGTAGCTGCTATAGCTGAGGTCACACCCCTGCACTTCAGCCTGGGAGACAGAGTAAGACTCCGTCTCAAAAAAAAAAAAAAAAAAAAAGTACCCTGAAGTACTCAGTCTGAAACTTTTGAGTACCAATATGATGTTCAAAGGTTATGCTTGTATTGTTATAAAAGAATGAATCCCTTACCTGCCGAGAGCATATCAAGGAAGCCATAACACACATGTGTGGCGTCAAGAACAGCTTTAGCCTCATAATTAAAATGGCAAGGGCAGTAAACGCTAACAACTGCAACGTGTGAAAAGCCAGCTACAGAAACACAAATAAGACAAAATCACATTTTTTCTTTTCATATTTTTAAATTAATGAAGTATATTAAAACTATATTATTCATTAAGACAAGGATCTTCTAACTTAGTAATGAGCCTATTAGTATTCATTCATTCAGCAACAATTTATCGAATGCCTACTATGTTCCAGGTACTCTTCTAGGTGCTTCAGAAACAACAGTGAGCAATTTCTGCCCTTGTATTACATGTAAGTACATTTAGTAACGAAAGACAGACAATACATAGACATAGCAAATAAATAAATCCATTACATAGTCTACTGTAAGGCAATAAGTGCAGCTGGCAAGAAAATGGAGCAGGCAGAGGAGCCAGGGAGAGCAGGAGGTGGTGTGAGGAGGCGGAGGACCAACACAGTGGGCCTCACTGTAAAGTGACAAAGTTACTAATGCATCCCTGATCCTGAAATCTACAATGCTCTGAAATCTGAAACTTTTGAGTACCAATGTGATGTTCAAAGGTTATGCTAAAACAAATGCTCATTGAAGCATTTTGGATTTTGGATTTTCAGATTAGGGATCTCAGCTAAGTAACTACAGTATAAATATTCCAAAATTCAATAAAATCTGAAATCTGAAATGCCTCTAGTCCTAAGCATTTTGGATAAAGGATACTCAACATGTGTCATAAACTATCCCTATTAAGTTCAAATTCAGTTACCCACTCCTGTAAATTTGACCTTTACCTCAACACCCACTTAAAGTTCTATCAAATAGGAAATTATTTCCAGCCCACACTGATCTTTTCCTTTTTATGCCACAAAATAATTTCGCACCATATAAAATGTTGTCTTATTTGTCTCCTTTGTAAACTTACACATACTGAAAGGCAGGAACATTACTTTAGTATCTTTTGTGTCCTTCAACACTTCTGAGCTTGTCGCTGACTGACCAGCAAATCTACGTGGTGGCAGATGGCCACCAGTCACAGGGCCAAGGGTGCCTGCCCTAATGGACTGTAGCTGATTAGCTCAGCAGGCTAGAAACCAAATGCTTGTTATTGTTAAATGAATGCAATTTAATTTAATTCTGTACTATAGTCACAAATCAGCCTTCTAGCTTTTAAATCCTTATTACTATTCAAAAGTGAGAGCAGATGAAAGGGTGAGAAGGATAAGCAGAAATGTATCACCAATGCTGACAACTCACGACTGATGGTGCGTCAGCAGCAGGTTATACCTTTGTCAATTATCCTCAAACTAGAATGTAATACACAAGTCTACCAGAGATTAAAATGAAAGCTTTACCTCACCGTGTTCAAGGAGCTTTTTTCTAGAATAAAACAAAAATATTATCTATTTACTGATGTGTCTTATACTATGAATACATAAAAATAAGCTTCATTTGTTTGATCTTAGATTTTAAAAATCTGAGTATCTCTAAACTACTTAGGAACATACATAAAAATAAAAATATCAGATAACACTACAAAAATTACAACAATTTAAAAGTCATAATTTATAGTCATCATACTCAAGATATGTCAAAAATTTGTTCTTTGGTTAAAACAAAATAGATTTTACAGACCCCTGGAGACTGTACCTCTCATGAATAAACGAATAGGATGACCTTCTATTAAACCTATATATACAGTGTATACAATACTTTAGATGACCACTGTTAAACTTTTGAGTTGTTTTCATTTTTCACAATTACAAATAACATAAACACTCGTGCATAAAACTTTGTAAGCATCTCTGAATATTTCCTTAGCATAAATTTCCAGCAGAAAAATTGGGTAAAACATAAATATTTTTAGTTTCAGAAAAGTTATCCCTTTACAAAACACTTACAGTACACCTACTGTATTCTAGGCAGTACGCAATGAAATGAATACCACAGTCCCAGCTTATCCTCCGATCCTCACTTTCCACAGTTTCAGTTACCTGTGGTCAACTGCAGTCCAAAAATATTAAACAAAAAGTTCCAGGAAATAAACAATTCCCAAGTTTTAAATTGTGCACCATACTGAATAGTGAAATCTCAAGTCATCCTGCCTCATCCTACCTGGGACGTGACTCACCCCTTTGTCCAGCATATCCATGCTGTATACGTCACCAGCCTGTTAGTCACATAGTTACCATATCAGTTATCAGATGGACTCTGGTGGTAGCTCAGTGCTTGTTTTCATGTAATCCTTTTTCTGACTTAATAATGGCCCCAAAGTGCAGGAGCAATGATGCTGGCAGTTGAGATATGCCAAAGAGAAGCTGTAAAGTGCTTTCTTTAAGAGAAAAGGTGAAAGTTCTCAAAAGAAAAAACATCATATGCTGTGGTTGCTAAGATTTACAGTAAGAATAAATCTCTCCATGAAATTGTGAAGAAAAAATTAATGCTAGTTTTGCTGTTGCATCTACAACTGCAAAAGTTATGGCCACAGTCCATGATAAGTACTTAGTTAAGATGGAAAAGGCATTAAATTTGAGGGTGGAAGATGTGAACAGAAATGTGTTCCGATGATGGCAATCAGGTGTGTTACTCTCTGCAGTTTCAAGCATCCACTGGGGGTCTTGGGATGCATCGCCCTGAGATAAGGGCAACTGCTGTGCAGCATGAACAGTATGGACACAACACTTAACCTTCATGGAGTTTCTATTAGAGTAAGACAAGAGGTAAGAGGCTGCCTATTTTATTCTTCTCTTGAAAAGACTGGGTATTTTACTTTTATGAAAGGTTTTATAGCCTGCAGGGGCATTCTGATATGGATTTTGGGGGTGAAGAGAGAAATAAGTGTAGAAACTAAATTCAGAGGTACACAGACCCATAGGTTTTTTTTAAAAGAGAAGTCAGGGGAAGGTCTCTTAAGATAGTAGTGGAGCCCAAATTATTCTATCTGCCTTGTAGCTCCTAACCTTTGTATGCAGTAGTTTTTTTTTACACAGAAGACGGGAAGGTCTCTTAAGGTAATAGTGGAGACCAAATTATTCTATCTCCCTTGTAGCTCCTTCCCTGGACATGCAGTTAATAGAGTGCGGTTTCCCCACTTGTCCCGAAATCTTCTAGGCACAACAGATTCCTGTAGTGAGCTGCATGCAAGGAAGAAGCCTGGTAGGTGAGTAATTATTATAATCACCAAGAACTCTGAAAGTAACTACTGATACTTTATTTAAATCAGGTAGCTAATTAAAAATGTGATTATACAACCAAATCCCAAGACACAAATAGCATGAAAAGGAAACATCAAAATAAATGAGTAAAAAACTTGACCTCTCATGAAATGGCTAATGCAAATGAAAACTCCAGTTATTATTTTCACAGAAGTTTAAGAGGATAATGCATCCATATAATTAAAATAGGCTTCAGTGAAAAGGAGTTTTCAGAAATTCTAAGAAAAATATATTTGCCTAATTTAAAGCCTCAAAAGGAGGTTGAAGAGCAACATGTACACAGCTGAAGTTGACAGTATTAAAGACTCAGTGATGACATTCTCTGAGAACACAGAAAGAAAAGAAATAGATAATATGATAAAAGCAGTAACAGAAATTCAAAAAAGAGAGGCTAAAGTGAAAGAATAAGAGAACAACAACGCACATACATCACCCCTCCAAACCTTATAAATTTCCAGAGAGAAAAACTATATAGGAATTTTCATCTGTAATGCTCAATGCTAGAACACAAAGAAGCAATGTCATCAAAATGTTGACTGAAACCCACAAATATCTATAAACCTATCTATCCATCAAATGAGGGCAAAATAAAGCCATTTTTCAGGTGAGAAAGCACCCAGAAAGCATGCCAATTCTACATGTCAAGGAAAAATAAATCAGTAAAATTTGAAGTCAAGTCCAAAGATTCCTGGTGTCTTTAATGTAAATGTTTAGAGACTTCTTAAAACATAAGAGATAAGACAACAATCTAGAAGTAAATTTCAGCATAACCTGGAAGGAGAGGGTGTATAGGCAGGGACAAGTAACAATATTCCGACAGCTCAGGGCTGAAGCAAGCAGGTCTCTAAGTACAGAGCCTGAGTATGAATTCTGCCTCCACTACTCACTAGCTGTGTGCCTTTCGGAAAATTACTTACCTTCTTACTGGTTTCCTCATCTATAAATAATGGGAATAACTGACTCCCTTCTCACAAGATGGTTGTGAGGATTTACTGAGTTAATATTGGTAAGAAACTTAAAATACTGTCAGACACACAGAAAATAATAACTGTTAGCTACTATTGTTGGTGGTAACAGGTTTTAGATGCTGATGAATTCTTAATATCAAGATGAATATATTTGCTAATAATTTAAGAAAAACCACCAGGAAATATAGAAATAGGATATAGCTAACAATTCAGCAAGTATCAAGAAA